ACATGTTGACCATAACGGGAAATCAGACATTCATGATTACAGCATGCAGGTGCAAAGATACATAAAATGACATAAAAGGTATCATAACAATAATAGTAGCAGTAATGATATTAACTATAAAATTAATAGTAGTAAGAATAGTAATAATAATAATAAGAATAATGACATGAAAGCAATGCACACTAGCAGCCACTAGCAACTTCGAGGCGCACTCGGGAGATTGGCCGTTGTAGGGCACAGCCTTCTAATGTGTTGAAGGCGTGCCAAGCCCGAGGCTGCTGTAAGGGCTGCTCTAGGTGTTGCTACAAGGGTTCCATCGCGTGTTAGGATAAAGCTTCCTTGAACTGTTACTGAGATGGTTGCCTTTCATGTTACTCCCAGGGCGTCTACAAAGGTTTCTGTAAGGGGTCGAAGGCGCCGACCACCCACAAGTTATCCATGGATTGCGGGCTTTGTTTCTTCAAGCGTTGACTATATGTTAGTACAGGGCCCCTTAACAATTTGAAGAAGACGCCAAGTTATGGGGGATTCGCGCAAGCATAGCGGTATCCTCAGGCACGCAGGGGACCCAGCAAATGGACGCTCTATGACACCTCGGAACGACTGTAGTGTCACGGAGGCAAGGCATTCGGGCTTGGGTTGCTTGGGGTTTCGCGATTTTGGAGGAGGGCTTGAGTTTGCTGCTGCTGACTGCTTTTCTCCTGCTTGTACCAGCATTCAGCAAGGAGGGACATAGGAGTTCGGGGATTCCGAGTCTGCAATGCTTCCAATTACGATGCGAAGACTCCGAAGAGAAAAAGAGAGAGAGAGAGAGAGAGGGAAATGACATATGATAATACATGGAACAACAGCGAAAATGACAAGATGAGCAGGTTAAGGCCCAGCCGGGGGTTGTGGACTTCGGTCATGTGTAATTGTTTACGAGTGTGCTAATGGCATTGAAGGTTCAGACCTGGGCGCGTAGGAATTGGATTGGATGTGAGGCGATACCCCCAAAGTGCGATGCGCAGTTAGGTGTTGATTTACAGTTCCCTCTGTGTCTTTAGCCTGAACCTTCAACCGAGACTAAACCCTAAACCCCTAAACCCTGAACCAAGTGCTTCCGTAGGCACCCGTTGGCACCAGTCGGGCTCACACAACGAGCTCAGTGGCCGAAACGGCGGCCGCGCAGTTGGAACCATCCTATGCAAGTTCACATTACACCCTCTGGGTTCCTTCCGAAGAGTGCACCTATAATACGGTTGATGATATTATAAATCCTGCATTACTCAGAATAAGAGGATACCAAAATTCCATTAGCTTCGGGTCCTTAAGGTAATGCAGGATTTATATCATCAGCAGTAGGATTTCCGGCCACATGAAGCAGCAAAGGCACCGGGGCATCGAGAACGTGTGCTGAATGGTTAAAGTTTGCAGGTCTTTGGTAATATTACTAGCTCTTATTCGGCTTGATGGGTTGGGGTTGGATGTGGATCTGGGGGACATGCTAAGACAATTTTTTTCGAACATGATGAATCAACCTCGGCGTCGTTTCCTTGTGGGAGTTGCTGCATGCTGCAAGATGGTGCCATGCTCAGATCTCCCACCTCCTTGTGAAAACCCTACTGGAGTGAAACACGAAGGCCAGAGAACGACAAGATCATCGAGTCAGCCTCCGTCATACACTACACTGTCACTACACTTACAGTAAACAGTTTGATCGTTTGATCCGGTGGCTTCTGATATATAAGACCCACTTAGGACTCCTAAAGGAAGACGCCTTGCGCTTCAGAGATTCTGAGAGGGTTTTGCGTTGCGCCACGGAAGAAATTTTCGGACCGGCCTCGTAGCAGTGGAGCCTCAGATCTAGCAGCGGGGTTTTTGGGCTGAAGGTCTTTTTGGGGTTGGGCAAAGCTTGCCGTACTACCCCCATGTGGGCAATAGCCTTACGGTTACGGGGACTGGTGAGGCTTTAACTTTCTTGCTTTCATGTTGATACCTCAGGATTCCCATCAGTTGTGGTGGAGGAATATCATGTTGTTGTCGGTGGGGGCGTTCGATCGTGGCGCACGGCATCAGAGACCCCACGCTAGTCTGGTAAAAGCTTAGGTGGCACGATCAAACTGTGTCGATAATTGCAAGTTTCGGCGAACATCATCATCCCATTACAGCAGCAGAGCATGAGCATCGAATGTCACTCTATGATACGGAAAACAAAATTTGACCCTGACGGGCAATTCGCGATTGCAGCAAGTTTGAATGCGCATCGCAGGCACCCTGCACCGTAAACTCCACAACTCGAAGCCCTTGAACCCTACATCCCTTAGCCCTAAGCCCTTAACCTCTGAGCCTCAAGCCTAGACCTCTACCTCCTCTGCCCTAGGGCCTTTGCCCCAACAATCGTTTTATGAACTCTCACATGCTCAAGTAGCAGTAGCAGGAGCAGCACCGGCAGTAGTAGTTGAAGTAGCAGTAACAGTAGCATACGAAGTGGTAGTAGCATTGGTAATCGTTGTCGTCGTCGTAGCAGCAGCAGCAGCAGCATTGGTAGTAGCAGTAGTACGAGTAATACACGTTGTGATAGGAAGTAGTAGTGGGAGCAACTCGAGTCACGAAGCAAACAACCTAGAAATGTCGACTTGGTGGCTGTCGCATGATGCAATCGAAGGGCAAATTGACCCGTTCTGGTGCCGTGAAGTCCTTCGGCGTCGCCCAGGTGCAGCTATCCTCCAGGTGCTGCCATCAAGTCCCACTTGCCGGATCTCTGCTCCCCATGGGAGATAACAAACGAAACCAACACCAGAAAAGGAAATACGTACCCCAAACCCTCAACCAAGAACTGTAAAGGAGAGCACAAACATTCCCACGGTGCTGGCCTGCTCCAATGCCAGAGCACCGCTCTGAACGCGGAAGTAGCCCTGCTCGCCCCAGTACTCACCTGAGCATCATCCCAAACAGCGGTCGGCTTAGTCTCGGCTTCTTTTTTCATGACAGGCAACAGCGGCTGGTAGACAGGGCAATACATGGCCTACAGATGCCTACAGCCTGTCATCAATAATTGGTGGTTGAAGCTGCAGCAGACCAACCAGTCAGGGGAACGACATATCCAATTCAGCCAACACACCCCACGAATTCCGCACCTGGCGCGGCCAACATGCTGTCTTGGTCAGGAACACATGTTATGTAACATCAAAGGTGCAGCACTTCGTGTCAACTCTACAACCAAACAGACCAAAGCAGTCTCGCACGTGCATACGCATGGCCCATGGCTGTGCATGTGGCGTGAAGCACCTGCCAGTAGAAGCCCAGCTTGTCATCTGTGCCCCAGCCGACAACGGAAATGGAGTGGTCAGTGTCCTTCGACCTGGTCCAATCCATCAGAACATGGAGAAGATCTCTGATAGAGAGATAGAGAGAGACTGAGAGAGAGCATCAAGCAAAGAAACATTGAGACAAAAGTGCAACACCTCCGTGAAGACCAATGCCTAGCCCCAAGACTCCAGACGGGACTGAGTGACTCATCGTTGGCCTATCTTGAGAAACGCAGCTTTCGTGTGAATGCGAAACATGATTGCGTCACAAACAGCAAGAACCGAAGCAACCCTTTTTGGACCAGAAGAAGGATCCCACGGGATACACAAAGCAGCTGCTTGATTATGTCCTTGTGATCTGTGTGGTGGCTCTATGTGACTGTCACATGATGGCTGCTTAAAAAATACCAAATTCTACACCCTAATCCTTTCGGCAGTCTTCCCTCCCAGCGGCTTCGCGGTGACGATGCCACCCGTGTAGTTGAGGATGGGCACGGCGTCGACGTTGCAAGCAATGGGCCCCCGGTTGAAGATCTCCTGGATTCTGGTTAGAGAACTTGTAGCCAAGTTACAACAAAAACGGAAGCAACGTGCACCCTAACCATCAGAAATCAGCTGTATCATGGCAACTAATTAATGCCGATCTGTCTATCTCACTGCCTACCTACCTATCTTTCTATCTCTCTCTCTCTCTCTCTCTCTCTCTCTCTATCTCTACCTACCTACTCTCTACCTACCGGTTTACCTATCTGCCTAACTGCCTCTCTCTGCACCTGTGTACCTATGTACCTGTGTACCAATCTAGCTTACCTGTCTGCCTGTCTGCCGGCCTACCTGTCTGCGTTCCAATCAACCTCCCTATGCACCTTGCTTGCTTGCTTGCTCGCTTGGGGCTTAGGGGTTGCGGACAACCCCTGGCCCGAAGACCTGCAGTACGCCTGTCTGTCAATTTAGTTTCCACAGCTTCCGAAGCAGTTAGGGTGTTCATTAACACGGGCCCCTAAACCGATCCCTAACCTCAAACCCCAAAGCCTTAAAACATACACCGTCGTCATCGTCGTCGTTGCGACATCACTGCTACCGTTGCCATCATCTTCACTGCCTCGTTTCGGGTCATGTGGTCTAAAATCGTCTGAAAGGTGATGAAAGGTGGGTTTGTTTAATGGGGAGCGGGCGTAGCATATACATATCTGTATCTCTATACATACATATGTATGTATGTATGTATGTGTGTATGTATGTACATATATATCTACATGTAAAATATAATATAGTATATCATTGAACATAATATAGTATAATCTAATATATTTTTGCAGCGGACTTTTAGGCTCTGCGGG